GTAGAAAGTATTGTCAAAATATTTTATATATCTTGACTCCATAATTTCTATTATAAATTATCCATGTCAATAACCACCAACGAAAAATTAAAATATCGTGCTCTAATAAATATTTTAATTCTTCATAAGGTGTGCTAACTGCTATCGATAAAAATAGTAGTGCAAAAAATCCTAAAAATTAAAATTTATCTTTTAAAGAGGCAATTATTTCTGTTACTACTGGCAAAGTTAAATCCGAAATCTATTCTTTGTTTCTAAAGGATTATGTGAAATTCTTCACCAAGAATAACACTAGGCATCAAAACCTATTTTTTTAATTATAAATATAATAAATAATTTAGGTATTCTTAAAATATTTTTAAAGATCATTTCGTTTGATCCAATCATTTTATTTATCGATGAATATTATAATTAATTTTTCATCATTCAAAATCCAATAAACAATGAGAAATTTTTATTTAGTAATTTAATTTATCTTTATTCCTAATTATTCATAAACGTTTTACAAATATCATAATTCTTATTTTCCTAAATTTGGTTTTACAATGCTATTTCTACAAAAAATTATAAAGTGCAGGAGAATACTTCTAAAATTACTTTTATTTTATTAATAATTAATATTCCACTTGTCATAAATGGATTAAATATTTCGAAAATCTTTAGCAGATAAGTATAAGCAGAATTAAAATAAAAAAATAACAAAATCAAAACAATCAAATAGTTAAACTGGAAGAGAATGAAGAAGAATGAACCATTGAATAGCAAGATCGATCAAATTCCAAAGAAGGTATTTAAATTAAGCAGAGATGATGAATTACCACCATGAATAGACTAAAAAGAGAAAACAAATCTAAAGAAGAATTATGACTAATTTACACTATTATGTTCAAAAATGAAACTTATAAAAAATGAAATTTCTTATAGGTTTTGGAAATAAAGATAATTTCTACAATCTAAATATTTTTTGAATAATATTGTATTTTTTATATTAAAATACAAAATATCCTTTATA